AAAGTTCTACAAGTGCAAGATGAGTTGGTGAATTCCATGAAAGAATCAGCTGGAAAGGAACTTCTGCGAGTCTCCAATAATAAAAATGCCTATAAAGAGCTTCTCAAAGGCTTGATTGTTCAGGTAGTCGCCTTGCATTTACTATGTTCATTGATTTCCTTGTGTGTGTGTGTGTGTTTGTTTTTTGTTTTTTGTTTTTTTTTTAACAAGAGGTGCAGGAATGAGATTACCCGGTTTTAAAGGTAATTGAGCCTTAAGCTTCACTCATGAACTATTTGGTCATACTAAACATTTTCATGAAATTGAAAACTATTAGAGCGGATATATTCATCTAAAATCAAAGATGAGGGCCCAGGAGATTAACAATTGATGATGCTATCTTATCTTTCAGAGTCTCTTGCGGCTGAAGGAACCAGTGGTGCTGTTGCGGTGCAGAGAGGTTGACCGGAGGCTTGTGGAGTCCATTTTAGAAGCAGCAAGGCAACAATACGCTGAGAAGGCCAAAGTACAAGCCGCTAAAGTTACTATCGACAATGTATACCTCCCACCTCCTCCCAAGAGTGCAGATTCCCACGAGCCTTACTGGTATTAATTTCTGCCTTGGCATACAAGTAATTTTATGCCAATTCTGCTGAAGTTCAGGTTTTCAAACATTTTGTTGTCTGGTTTTTTGGATTTTTAGCTCTGGCGGAGTGGTGCTGGCTTCTCAGGATGGGAAGATAGTGTGCGACAATACTTTGGATGCAAGATTGGATGTTGCTTTCAAACAGAAACTACCTGAGGTTTGTATTTCAGTGTTCACCAAACATCTTAACCATGCTTCTGGTAGAATTCGTTCTGTTCTTCAGTCAGCATTCTGCCATTTCCCTTTGCCGTTCTTTTCTGCTTTGGGCCGTGGGATTGACCCTAAAATACTTCATTTCTTCCTAATTGCTACAGATTCGAAAACGGCTATTTGGACAATTGAGTTCGTCATTGATTTGATTCTGATTCTGCCTTACCATGGCAAGTGCTAAAACCAATGTCAAGCAATGAAGAACATGAATGTGCACTTAGAAATAATATTGGCTTCTCTACCCTTTACTAATTGATTTTAAGTTGGATAATTTGTCGTGTTTTTATAGATTTTGTATCTCTGCCTCTGAGATATTGTTCTTGGAATTCTTGAAAAAGTTTTTAGCTTCCTTTACATTCCCAATTTCTTCTTCATTCATCATGGCAGTGAGAAATAATTTAGTGCTTTTTAACTAAATGGAGAGAGATTACCTTAAATAGAACAAAAGTTGAAGATTACAGAGTGCCTTCAACTTGTTATGTTGAAATGCGAAGAAACTTTAACACTAAGCTAAGAAACAGAGTATCTTCTACTCCGACCAGTTTTCCCTTCTGAACCCCGTGACTTTCGACCAGATTTCGCTCTTTTTGCTCCACCAGGACCACTAAAGATCCCAATCCTTCCTATCCCTCTAGAGAGTGAAGTAAAGAAAGTTTTTCCATTACCAGACTTATCCATCATCCCTTGTTTCATAAAGGTTTGCTCCTTCTCCAACTCACTCAGCCTGACTCTCATTCTTGATATCTCAAGCTTAAGCTCTCGGTTTTCCCTTCTTAAGGAAGCATAATTATCTCGAGGAGACATGGCTGCACTAGGGACACCGCTGCTGATTCTCTGGGATAGGAACCCATCTCCAGAACTTCCGGACAACGCATTCTTCAACCGAAGCTGCTCAAAATAGAGGACTCTAACTACCATTTGTACTGGAAGACGATCATTCTGTGCAGCGTGGTTGCAGGCTTCTTGTGAGAGTTTCTGACAGTCTATGAACTTACAGAGCTTCCTACACTCGTTTTCTGTTAGCATCGGATGAGCCTAAAACAACACATGAAATGCTAAGATCAACTCAAACGCAACAAGATAAAAAGAAAAAGAAAATCATGGTAGTGAATTTAAAGTAACATGCTGAGTCATGATTCTGCACTATAATTGATGAACATTTTACCTTCAAGTATATATCAATGGCTCTGTAAAGCCCATCATCAATCACACGAGCATAATCTGGCAATATCTCTATCATGGCAATGAATTTCTGCAAGCTCAAATAAGGATCCGGAGCAATTTCTGCTAAATAGGTGTCAATAAGGCGTCCTACTTTCAACAAAGAACCATGGCCTGGTGAACCAAATCCTTCTGATCCACATTCACAATCTTCATTGTCTTCATCTTCAATCCGCTGTAAGAAATTAACCAGTATCCGGTGGACAGTATCAACATCAAATAATGAATCCCCAGGTCGGAGACAAGGTATAAGCAGATCATCAAGTGAAACCATTTCCAATCGAAAAGCAATCCTTCTCTCAAGCTCAAGCCTGTAGGCAATGGTAGCATCCACTGTAATTGCCATCCTTAACATCCCAAATAGGAAACTCACAGGAATTGAGGAGCCCTTGTCTGTTGGCATTAGACTTACAAGAGTTTCTACAATTGTCTTCTGGTCATTTTCTTCCTTGCCTGGAATCGGTTTCATCCTTGCAGGATTCCAAATCTGACATTTTCCAATACCCTTCAATGATGCCTCAGCGTAATGCATTAAAGATGAAATTATGCTGTCTTGCCGAACCCCCATTCTTCCCATGGCAAAGACAGCCCTCTGATAATAATCGATCCTTAATACGGAGAGATCCTCAATCCACCACTCAATACATCCATTCTTAAGTTCTGTAGATTCTCCACCACAATCTAACCTAGACAAACCCGAAACTAATTGTTCTTTACATGCATTCATGGCAATGGCCTCCACACATCTACTTGGTATCCCTATCTCTTCTGCTATTGAAGGTAGCATCTCACAGGCACAAAGGACTTCCACAGACTTCTCAAGACTAAGAACTACAACCTCATCTAGGTAAACTTCTGTTCGTGCAATGAGGTTATCATCTCGGTAATCTTCAGTCATCTCCAAATATTCTGCAGCACAACGCAGAGGGGCAACATTTGCAGTTGTGATCTCAAAGTTCATGCCATAACAGAATTTCATGGCAAGTTCAAACGCCTGGGGTCCTCCTGGTAAGTTGAGAAGCTCCAATTTTGAAAGGTTAGAATCCTTGGCATCAGCTACCATTTTTCTAATCTTTCCACTTCGAGATACAAGGGGAAACTTCAGTGGAACAGAAAGCAAAAAAGTAAAGTTTATTAGATTTTTTGTTGGACTTGGAAATGTCATGTTGCAAGAATTACTATAAATCAAACATAAACGAAGCCAAATGCAAAGATGATTATCTGTCCATAACAACAACAATATGCTAGTAATAAGAGCTTACCTTGTGCAGGAGAAAGGATTCCCCATCAACAACAATGGTAATGTCCCCTGCAACATCTGAAAAGATGCTGGATAAACAAGAAGATTTAAAGTCAGGATAAATCAGCTAAAATCAACGTTTATTCATATTGTAATCTAGAAAAAATAATAATAATAAAAGGGAAACAACGAGAAAAAGGCAACTATCCAAACACTTATTTCCAGTAACATTTCCTATGTTACAACAATTTTGTAGGATCTAGATTGGGATTACCTTTCCTTTTTCCCATTTTTTTGCCCCTAGTACATCAGTTTGCTATAATCAACAATTGTTCAAGGCAGAGTATAGAACAAAGAGACAGAAAAGTAAGGCATCAAAAATTTTCATAGAATATGTTGATATTACAACATATTAGTCATGAGAGAAAATGCAATTAAATGGAACAAGTTCAAAATAAAGCCTGAACAATTACAATGTGGGAGTCAAACATTGTTGGAACAAAAGACATAATCATTAAACAATCTTACTAAAAGCATTATACTTTCACCAACATGCCATGATCTATATGATGTTGTATATGGCTAACAGAGTGTGATCATAAAAAAAAAAGGACTAATTTACTGTGATGTGAGTCAATTCCAGGACCCTTTTCCTTCATCATCTTTGACCATATCACAAACAGGGTTCACTTCAATAACAATTCTTGTTCTTTGTTTCTCTCTCAGTTCTTTCAACAAACATTTAGAAGGAATAAACAAACAATACAGGATTCTAAGCAGGAAAAGGACAAATCCTAAGGAAACTTGTAGCTACGTAATAAAAAAATAATTGAAATCCCATTTCACAATTAGAATAATAATCCCTTAATTTTAAAAAAGAAACCAAACCCATTAAGGAAACAACACAGAAGATAAGAAATCCTCATATTATAATCTAGATCTCACCCAAAAAAAAAAAAAAAAAATAAAAAAAAACATGAAAAAGGAAAAAGAAGCCATTGCTTTTATAGAAACATGTCTCATAAGAACATGCTTATACGATGAAAACATTTATTTTGATACCAAGTATTTAATTAATATTATTTTATACAAATTTATATTTTTATATATTTAACGTTTAAACAAAATAGCTAATAAAATACCTCTCCTCTAAAGCATAGAAAATTTTCAAAAATCAAGTAGCTCCACCCCTGGTCTACACGCTGCTCCACCTCGAAGCAAAGCTTTTTTGGTACAATACCATCTTTACCTTCCACATTGAATCCAAACTTTAAATTTGTTCGAGAATTAAAATTTTATTTGAATTGTCATTAAAAAGTGTTTCGATTGGTAAGGATTTAAAATTTTAAATTGAAGATATTAAATTTAGACCTTAAAACATGTATGGAGTCATTTAAAAAATAGAATAAGATGGCTCATTATCAAGTGTATAGTTAAGCCTTCTGAAGCATATCACATCTAGATTGGAAGAAACAGGAAAATTAAGGGAACAATTATACACTTTCTAATAAAGGCCTTGCGTTTCTCTTTCTAACAGGAATGCAGCTAACAAAGGACAGAGTGCTGTGGTATACAAATCTCAGGTTAGGAAACAATTGACGGAAGAAGGGTACAGGTTGTGGGGTAATGTTGGAGACCAATGGAGTGACTTGCAGGGAGAATATCTGGGAAACAGGACTTTCAAGATCCCCAATCCCATGTATTTTGTTTCTTAAAAATCCATTGCGAAACAAAGTGATAAAAAATGTTTGTGATGATGTTTTAGAGGAGTGCATCCTTTAGAAATGAATCCATGAATCCCATAAAAAAAAAATAAAAAATCCATGAAATGGTTCAGGATTCAGGATTTAGGATTCAGGACAATTAATTATTAAAAGAATGACTCTCTTCCGTAGAAGCTGGAAATAATTATACGAACTCAGGGGATGATTCTTCTGGTGTTGCATTTCAATGTTTCAATAAATATTTTGTGATAATGGTTTTGAATTCAAGAAAGAATTGTATGAAACTGCACTTTTTCATTTTATAAAATTAACATTATTTAACATCACGTCAGACACTTATCAACAGCCTAGTATATTATTGTCGCTGCAAATCAATCACTAATTTAAATTACGAGCTGCACCAAACCGACATAAACACTAATTATGGTGATTAGTTAAAATAGTTCCCCCAATAATAGGCCAAAATTATGGCAAGCTATTTGACTTTAATTTCAACACCATTAATCACGTAAAATTTATTTGTGTTACATGCTACAATCATAAAGAAAGTATATTATTATTATTATTTGGAAAATAAAGAAAGTATGGCTAATAGATGGTAGCAGTACTTTTTTATTTTATATATTGATAAAAAAAATAAAAGAATATATTACTGTTTAAATTATATATAGTTTGAATTATTAGAAAGGTGTCATGCAGTTGTTATAATATTAAAAATTATTCTCTTATTTAAGAAATTTCATTCTGTATGATACTTTATAATAATGATAAAATAATAAAAATCAAGTTAACACATTATTAGTTTGGATAGAAAGAATTTAATTTTTTTAAAATAAAGTTTTAAATTTAAATTTTGTGAATAAATAATAAATATTAAAATTCATATTTATTTATTTTTTAAATTAATTAAAATCTAATATAACTTTTCTATATCAAAAGGTTAATACTAAGAAAATAATAGTAATAAAAACTATCGTTGTTATTACAGGAACAAGTATCACAAGAACATGCATGTATAATAAAAAAATTTATTTGGATATTATATCATTCAATTAACATTATTTTATATAGATTCGTATTTTTATATATTTAATATTTAAATAAAATATTTAATAAAATGCTATCAAAAATTACATTAATATTATTTAATTTAACCTATTTTTACATATTAAATAAATGAATTGAAGAAATTATAAAAAGTCTAAACCCTGTGTTAAGCCCCTGAAGTGATTTTTAACCGTTTGAGCCACTGGCCACACTATGGTGCAAATGGGTAACGCTCAGTTAACTGCTACCGTTTGTCTCCATCTAACGTGGCAAGCATCTCCGGTTGTTATTGCAGTAAAAAATAATTAATTTAACGGATATTCAGTTAATTAACGGAGACAAATGGATGCCGTTAATGGTGGGGTTAATTCGCATCCATCCTACGGATAAGGGGCTCATATGCTTAAAAATTGGTTTAGTGGTTTACACGGGAATATGGGAAAAGTTTAAGGGTTAGCATAGGGTTTTGCCTTAAAAAAAAAAAAGGGGGCAGCATCCACCCGTTGATATTTAAATGCAGTTGCATTTTAATACGGCGGTGCAGCATGTGGAGGCACCGCCTGACAGGCACTACAGCATGTCAGATGGTACAGCTTTTTCTATCACCTCTTAAGGCGAAAACGACTATTGACCCTGCTGACCCCGCTTGTAGATAAGCTCAGTTGTTGAGAAATGTTTTTAAAAACATGTATAACAAAGAATAGTGTATAAAATAAGAACTAATAATTGTTAGCAAAATAATTGCCCATCATGATTCATGATTTGCATTTCGTTTTTTTTTTGAACAAGTTTTTACAAGGGGCGATGATTTGCATTTCGTTTTTTTTTTTTTTTTAAACAGTGTGAAATCTTTTTTTTTAAAAAGGAGAACGAGGAACTTGAGATTTAATCCCAAAAATTTGTAGTCCTATGCACGTCCCTGCAATGGGTAGCCATCAGGCCACCGAGTGCAGGACGATGATTTGCATTTCGTTGGTCACTGCATTTAAAAAAATTATCATGAATTACATTCTAAATCAATGATTGAACTTTACAAAAAAACAATGTACTAATTTTTAACTCGTAATTATATTCTTCCTGTCAAAATAATAATAATAATAATCATAATCATGATTCATGACTCATATTCGCCAGATACATACCTTAAATCAAAAGCACAAGAAGGCCCGACTGGTTTCCATCCACAGATTTGGAAGACAAAGTAGAGAAGAATTATGGGGTCCAGAAACACCTTGAGGCTTCCCGTCATAGATTTCTCAACGCAAGAGCTAGAATGGGATTTGGTGAAGGGCCAAGTCCGGGAAGCACTTGAAGAGTACGGTGCTTTCGAGGCTTTATTTGACAAAGTTCCCAATCTAGAGCTCTGGCAGGCCATATTTGGGACCTTTGAAGAGATATTCGACCTTCCTTTAGAGATCAAACGACGAAATGTTTACAGGAAGAGCAGCCTCGGATATATAGGACAATCCCCTGTTGTTCCCCTTTATGAAAGCATCGCCGTTGACCGAGCCAATGTTCTGGAAAAGGTCGACCAAGGCTTCACCAATATATTGTTTCCAGAAGGAAACCCAACTTTGAGGTAACTATTTTTTCATTAAATTCATTGTTTGTTTTTTTTTTTTTTCTCTCCCTCTCTATTTTTTCGAATATTGAAAAATTACAGGAGAATGGAGGATTTTTTCAAGTAATTGATAGAAATCGAATCTACGATCAATTAAATTCAAGCACTACGATCTAAGGATGAATTACTGACCAAAAGGCCCTATTCAAATTCATTGTTTGGTTTATTAGCTATTGACCCGATGTTTTCATATTGATACTTCTGTCCTATGCGACACCATATAAACGCGCATGTATCTCTAGTTATAATTAACAATTGTACTTTTGGCAGCAAAAATATACAGTCTTTTACAGAGCAAGTGGCTAAATTGGATGAGATAATTAGGAGGATGATTTTGGAGAGTTTTGGTCTTGAGAAATACATGGATGAGCATTTGAATTCCACAACTTACACTCTAAGGGGCTTTAAATATACGAGTCCAAAAACCACAGAGTCTAAGGTAGGTCTGATTCCTCATCAAGACAAGAACATGATATCCATATTATACCAATTGAACGAGGTGGATGGATTGGAGATACAGACAAAAGATGGAGAGTGGATCAGTGTCAAGGCCTCGCCTGAATCTTTCATTGTTGTGATAGGGGAATCACTCCATGTGAGTTTTTAATTCCTTTTTCTCTTTAATTAATTAACTTCATTTTTTGAACAATATTGTCATGGGACAGGTTAGAACTGTCCAAAAAGAGAGGGAGATGTCACCTCAAGGTGACTACTTGACTCAAAAGGCCTGGTATATTAATTAACTTATTAATTAAGTTTATTAATGAAGATGTATATACATTATAATTTCTTAATTAGGTTTATTAATGAAGATGTGTACATAATGTTTTAGGCATGGTTAAATGGTCGATTGTCGGCCGTCTATCATCGTGTGATGATGACCGGAGACAAGGCGAGGTACTCTCTTGGGCTGTTTTCAGTCGCTAAAGATGGCTACCTGGTAAAAGCTCCAGAAGAGATGGTGGATGAAGAACATCCCTTACTTTATAAGCCCTTTGACTTTGCTAAGTTTTTGGAGTACCTCGGCAACAACCGTAAGCAGGGTGGACAGAAAGTTGAGCTTACTCTCAAGGCTTACTGCGGTGCCTAAAATATATGAAAGGCTACAATATTTTGCAACTTGCATTGTCACGTTCTTGTCCTTCTTGTTGTCTAAGATAAAATGTATTGATCATTTGTGACTTATCTAATGTTATGAACTTGAATTTCCATTATATAGTTCCCTAGCTTCTTATATTGGCAATATTAGAATTGATTTATAAAAAATAATTTCTTATAATTAAATTTTAAAATAGTTAGATGTATAATTTTCATTATATTGAATAATGATTCAAGAGTGATAAAAATTACTTATAAGATTAATAAATTTTATTTTTTTAGAATTGTACTTTTTGAAATATATTTTTTTCCAATACAAATAAATTGATGAGCAATGCCATTTTTAATATAATTATGTCAAAATTGTCGATCTCTGTTGTATATGTTATAACTGTATAAGAAACTCCTCTCTAATAGATCGGCAAGACACTCGTTGTCGATGATCAGAGGAAAGAAACTAGTCATCCATGGCAGGAAGAGACGAGAAACAGGGGATTTAGTGTGCAACAAATCAGCATGTTAAGAGGATAATTTCTATCAGGATCTTTGGATGAAGAACACATATAAGTAACATGAGAATCCATCCCAACAATGACAGAAGAAAAGGCCAATTGCTGTGCAAGGAGAAGACCATCCTGGACCCTCCACAACTAAGCAGCTACACTGGAAGTCTATCCAATTTTTCTAGTAAAACCTGCAAGCCAGTTTTCATGGTGATTTCTAATGATATCTCCAGCCGCCAGACCAGGGTTAGTTAGCATAGATTCATCCGTGTTAAGCTTCACCCAGCTAATGGGAGGTTTCTCCCCATGGACATAGGTGATATTGTTGTTTCTTATTAATTATATAATTAATAAGATGGATCTCACTTATTTTTTCTTAATAGATTTTAAAAGTTGGATGTATTAAAAGTTTATGATGGGCTACTTATCTAATTTTATGAACCTAAAATCAGTGTTTTTAAAATTGGACTAAATCGATTGATCTAAACGGTTCAATTGTCACTCAGTTGTTGAAACGGGTCGGGTGGACACCCAAATCCGTTTTGACGATCCAACCGTTAAAACCCAAGAAAACTGCTTGACCCCGTCCAACCGATAGACTTGACAAACTCATCACGTGAATTCACCACTTGGATGCTGCGATTTCCTTCTTCCGAAGGGTTCAAAATTCAAAGTTCAAAGTTTAAATTTATTATCTCCAAGATTCGAACAAACAACTTTTGCCACTAGAGTTTCACTTTTTGAGTTAATGCTCAAAATATCATTTAAAGAAAATATCATTTATGCTCTGTTTGGCAACTTGAATTTGCCAGCGTGTATTTGAATTTGGAGTGTTCAAATTCAATTTTACTGTTTGTTTTTACCTAAATAAAATGTAATTGAATTTGGATGAAATACATGTATTTTAAAAGAGTAATTCT